TAGGACTGTTGATGCCATAGTGCAAGCGAGGTGAACATGATGTAAACTTGTTACATCGAAACTATTTGTCTGTGCAACCATTTTCTTTCTTACTTGTTTCTTATATTACAGCAAGCTTCCGCTGTCGATTATATTGGTTGGTGTTGGAGATGGACCTTGGGACATGATGAAGGAGTTTGATGATAACATTCCTGCTCGAGCATTTGATAATTTTCAGGTAACTTCTGAGTGCATACAAGATGTTTCATTTAGATATCATTTGTATTTTATTCATACGTTATTATCATCATGCTTTAGTTATTAAGGTTTTTCTCCTTTTGGTTCTCTAGTTTGTGAATTTCACAGAGATTATGTCAAAGAATACAGCTCCATCCCGAAAGGAGACAGAATTTGCTCTAGCTGCTTTAATGGAGATTCCTTCACAGTACAAAGCAACCATTGAGCTTAATATTCTGGGGTAATAACTCATTCTGTGTTGGCCATTTTGAAAGGTTTTTTTATTAACCCTTTGCAACTCAAATTTTAATGGTGATTTTCAATTTATTTTGTTGTGCAGTGGTCGAAAGGGAAATGTTCCTGAGAGAGTTCCCCTACCTCCTCCTACATCTGGTGCAGCATCTTTCAACAGCTCAAAACCTTCCCATTCTACCAGTTTCCAATATGGTGCAACATCTTTCAGTAGCTCAAAACCTTCTAATCCCACCAGTTTCCAACCAAGTGTCCCTCCTTATCCTGAAGATAGTAGTTCTGTCAGCTCAGCTCCACCAGCTCCAAGTTCCACTTATGATAGCCAGGTATGAGAATTTTGATGTAGTTGTTCAGTTGGTCCATATATCTTCTATAATAACGGGCTGCCTTGGTATTCATTTTTTGAACCGAAACCTGAAAGGAGCAAGACTTAAAGATTATGAACTCTGGGAGGCTCAACTGCCTTTTTCTAGATGCCTTGATTCTTCATCCTCTTCCCCTGTATATTTGGTTGTTTATCTTGAAGGCTAACACCACCTTTTGGTTGTTTTGAACAGCTTTGTCCCATTTGCCTTAGTAACTCGAAAGACATGGCATTTGGTTGTGGCCATCAGGTAAATCTCTCTAACGCTTTTCCTTCACTTCTTGGTTTAGAAATTTGTAGAGGAAGGTGCTGACATCAAGCCACTCTTACTTTTTGTTTTGTCAGACCTGTGAAGATTGTGCAAAAGACCTCCAAACCTGCCCGATATGTCGAAGTCCAATTCAAACCAAAATAAAGCTCTACTTCTGATTTTGTTTTTCCTCAAATTGTTTTTGCCCATCATTCTTTGTAATTTGTTATTGAGAAGATGCAAATAGTGATAAGGTTCGATGAAGTCAGTTTCTGGTGCCTATCACCCAAGGAAGGGACCTCATCATCCTTTGTACATTCTCTTTTGGTTTGAACCCTGTGTACATTTCTGTATTTCACTATTTCATTTATTCGTCCTTATTGCCCTTAAATCATGATCAATGCACCTTCCATATATTTGTCTACATGAAATGCTATGACAGAAGCTGATGGATAGTTAATAAATCAGCTAGAATTTGGTGAACAGTGCAGAAATTTACAATTATTGGGATGTAAATTGGGTCTATTTTTGATGATGGTTAGACAGAAATTAGGCCTGGTTGATAATGACTAATTGACCATCACCTACTCTTTTCCTAAGGTGGCTGTTAAATGTGAACCTTGGGTTGTTGTCAGGTCTGCATCTATCTCATTATTATGCTTGGAATAATTCATTCTTCAACTAAATCTTAGTTACTTAACAATAATAAGGTCACGCCACATTATTGCTGTTTCATGATAAAAGTGTTAATTACCATGCTTCTGGGATTCTAACCTTGTCCTCTGTCCTCCCATAGGCTGGAATAATCAATTGCAAATTTTAGTGGATTTGTTGGAAATAGTGAATTCTAATTCTTCTGACCCTGCTACAATGATAGCATAAGACTGAATATGCGACATAAAACCATAAAAAAGACATCAAGCGAGGCACGAAGTAGGGACAGGCCTGCACTGCAGAATAATTTTGGAAGATGATCTTTCAGCTAAAGAATAGCACATGTAATTGTGAAATAAAGATATTTGTGAGCTTTCATTTAATGGCTTTGGTGCAAAAATATACTGATCTAATCTACTTATTTATTGACCCAGTGGAGGCAGACATACATGGAAATTGGGAGGATGATGATGTTCTGTTTTTCTTCTTGATTTCCATTATTCTGATTCCAAGAATATATATATACACAAATCAATGAATCCCACAAATTTAGTTATATGTTTTAACATAAATGAAAGAGAAAGTAAAAATTACAACTAAGGAGCAAAGCATGCACTGTAGGTATCAGTCTTGAACCTTTAAAGAGGATAACAAGCATTAATTTCAAGTCTTTACCCATAATATCAATATCTTATTTCATATATTGAATAATAGTTACAATGATGCAAACCGCCCACACTCACCAACCCTTGCATTTAATGCACTCAACTGTTCTACAAAAACAAAACCCTATATATCAGTCGAGATTAAAAGATGAACAACTCATTCCCTTTAGGTTCCGCAACCATTGAAAGAGACTAGCCACCTTCGTTTGCTCACTTATCTGGGTTATTTTCTGTTTCTGAAACTCCCCAGTGTACTATTGAGATGGCCGCAGCTGCCAAGTTCTCTTACCAGAGATTGAGAAATGAAGATGATGAGCTTGATGTTGATGACATAAGGGAGAGACTGACTGGGAGATCAAGAAGCTGTTACAAGCTTAAAAGGATACCTGTTAGGAGGAGATTCAGGCTTAAGGTTCCAAGCTTGAAAAGATTCTTGAGGGGGAAGATTAAGCTGGGCAGGCTTTCATTTGCTAAGGTGATGAAGAGATTGAAAGACAGTCAGGCTCATTTTGGTGATCTTTTTGTTGGAAACTATATGTTCATTCAAGTCAATCCTACCAGCATGAAAAGCTTTGCAAAATCTTGTGAAGGCACTAGCCTTAAAGCCTTGCCTTCCAGGTAGTCTCTCCCTAGAATTGCTTGATGTTCTTATTGTCTTTAATGTAAATGCAGTAAGTTTTTAAGTTTTCCTTTCAGGCTTTGAATGTCTTCCTACTTTTCCTTCTCCTAGATCTTGACTGGTATAGGATAGCCGTAACTATTTGCAACCCTCCTATTTGCAGTCTGTAATAATCCAGGATTGAGCTGTAAACGAAAGGGATCAGCTACAATATGAATCTTGGAAACTATGTAATACAATTTCATCAAAGAAAGAACAGAAGTTCTGGAAAAGATTTCCATGTTTATTTCCTTGATACAAATCAAAATACCTATGTGGTTGAATCATAACTCAATTTCAATAGCTAATGTTGCATGTGGCATTCCAGTTCAGGATTTCTTAATCACTGGATACTATAGCATTGAAGATAATCCAGTATTTTGTTTGCTGCCAAGTAATTGATTCATGTTAATTTCAAGATAACTGTGACAGTTATGACTGCTGAATCTCATTTTATCTGCAAAAGGTGCATCAGTAACACATCAGCCATGTTAAAATTGAAAAACAACCATAGTTTTTGTTTCCTTGTTTACTTAAACCAGAGAGGAAAATGGTTTTAAGAAAGTAGCAAACACAATCTATGCCAGGAAATGGTGCTTGTGAGCATTGAATATCAAGTGAGATGTGTCTGAATTCCTGGCACAACCAGGAAGGCATTAACTCTCTCCATCATGGAGATGTGAGAACCTTTACCAATTGTCTTGATGTAATCTCTAGCCAAATGAATGAATCATGTGATCCGTTCGGAGTTGGGAGGATGGGAGTTAGAAGTCAATGTCTAACCCATGAAAGTTGACTCAACCAGACACGTTTTTTTTTTTGAAACATTGAATGTTACTGCTATCTGTATGAAAAAAAATTTCAATATCTTAATAAAGATAAAAAAAATTAAAAAAATAAATAGTTAAATATTTTTAATTTTTAAAATATACCCTGTTTCAAATGTGTTAATACCTTAATATGAAATATTTAATTTTTTATTCTTTTCACTCTTTCTCTCTCTCGCAAATCGCATGCACTCTGCGATCAGAGATTCTACCGTTGCCAAGGGGAGCACCAGATCATGTTCCCCAGGCCAATGGAGCATCGAGTGCTCCCCAGGCTTGGGAGCACCAGATTGGCTCCCCTAGCCTAAGTGCTCCCTTGGCCTTGGGAGCACTCGGCTCCCCTGGGCTGGCCTAGGGCTGGGAAGCACTCGGCTCCCTTGCCTTGAGGAGCACCATCGAGCGCTCCCTTGGCTTGGGGAGCACTATCGAGTGCTCCCCTGGTGCTCCTCAGGCCAAAGCTCTGGCCGGTTGGCGATGTGAGTGCCGCCGACCGGGCCATTGAGAGAAAAAAAATCTAGGAGGGGAAATTTTAAAAATAAAAATTATAATTTATATATCATGTAATTTTTAAAATTAATAATTAATAAAAATTATCATATCAATAAAGTAACGAAAATATCAACAAAATTTTAATAATTGAATTTATGTGTTTAGTAAAAAATAAAATTTAAGATTAATTGTTTATTTTTCATATTAATAACTTTTTTAAAATTTTAATTAAAATTTAAAAATGAAGATATTTTATTCATATTATAATATTTATGTCATAACCTATGGGATTTTCTTTAATATAAAAGATTGAAAATTCTAATATCTGGTTAATCATTAATTTACTTAAAAAATTTGCACCCTTAAAATAAGATATATAATAATGTAATTTTATTGTTTAATTCATTCTTAGTGCCAATATTTTCCACTTCATGCCTCTTAAAATTGGAAAAAAAAATTCCCTTTACACTCTTTAACCAACTATATTTCAATTCCTCACAAGGCCCACAAATTCTTATTCATGAGGCCCAAGAACCCTTCAAGGAAGGGTAGACTTGTTTTTGGGCCAAGTGGGTCAACACCCTTATCGAAACGCACCGGTTTAGCTCAATTACTAATAATTAAAGCTTTTCTGGTTTTGGGAGCAAAGGCGAACCCTTCACTGGTTTTTTTTTTTTTTCACTTTGCTTCATCAATGAAGTTCCTCTTTCGATCCGTTTCCGGTAAAAAATTTCAAAACTTTACAAATACCCATTTCTTTTGTTGACGAGATTCATCGAACTGATAGCTTATCACGCTTCCTTTCTTGTTCTGTTTTCTTTTTTTGTTGTTCAAAGCAGGTTACAACAGGCCTCTGCTTCAAGCTCTTGGTGGCCGCCAGTTTTCGGATGTAACAGCACTAAAATCCAAACGAAACTATGCTGAAAATGTCTCTGAATACAACACTGTTCTCACTTCTCTTGTCTCTAAACGAAGGTCCTGTCTTTTCACTTGTTGCTCTATCTGGGCATTTTATTATTATTAGAATTTTGTGTTACATTTTAGTCATTTCCTCATTATGAATCTATTATGGTTTTGCTTCATAGTAATTTTTTAGGAAGCAAAAGCAAGAGTAAATGAGTGATAAATAGGCATCGCCTTATTTGTTTGTGAATTGGGTGTTGGTGATGCAGGAATTTTCTGTTGAGGGATGTTTATGATGATATGATGCTGGATGGGGTACAGCCAACTAGAGATACTTTCCAGGCTTTGATTATAGGAACCATGAGAGGGGCACGCCTGCAAGATGCTTTATATTTCAGAGATGAAATGAAGGCCATGGGATTGGTCCCTGAGGTATGTCGTGCTCTTTTTCTTTCCGAACTCTTTCTTAATTTTGCAAGTTTTACTTCCCATTTTTCATATTAACTTTGCCAACTCAAAATTGGCTGTTTCAATAATTTGTTAATTATATTAATATGACTTAAATTTCTATTTGTTTCCTAGGTTGCTTTGTACAACCATTTGATCTCAACCTGTGGGAAATGCAAGAATTCTGACCTAGCAATTCAGGTATGCCTCTCATGTGTTTGTAGAGATCTTTTATTTGTTTACTTTCTGTGTTCCGTTTGTAGCATTGACATCTATCAGTTTCTTAATAACCTCTAATTATTCAACCTCGTTGTTCTCTTTCATGTAAGATTCTGGAAGAAATGAAGAGATACGATGTGAAGCCTAATGGACAAACTTATGTTGCTTTACTTAATGCATGTGCAGCAGCTGGACGATTAGATCGAGTGTATGCTACTATTTCTTTGGTGTAACTTTCTGTTTTTAAGTTCAGTGACTGTGCTCAGATTCCTTGGTTTTTGAAATGCTTGTACCTTAGCTGTGATAATATGCTGGTTCTTGTGCTGCACAACAGTTAGAATGAATCACTTCTATATGATGACGACTTTCAATATGTCCTTGCAAACAAGTATCTGTCTCTTGCTTGTGACTTACGAAAGCAGATTTTGTAATTTTGAAAATTATTAAACTAACGTGCGTGTAAATGCTGTAGGTTAGCAATAGTCCGTGATATGACTGCTGCTGGTGCTGCATTGAACAAGTACTGCTATGCTGGACTTATAACTGCACATATGAACAAGATGCCTAGAGCAGATGATATAGCAACAAAAGTAATAATTAGGCCTTTTTCTTTACTTTGACAATTGCTTCATTCATTCTTCTTTTGTAGTTTTCTAAAATTTTCCTCTCCTCTCTAGATTATTGAGTTTGCCGAGCAGTCGAAAGGATGGTCTTCTGTTGAAGCGTCAACTGGAAATGCTGCAAATCTGATGGCTGGCATTCCTGAAGAAGAGTTATACAACCTACCTACTGCTGACTTTGTTCATAGGCGTGGTTTCTTAAACAGGCAGCTAACTGTGTACCATGTTGCATTTCATGCTTGTGCAGACCTTAAGAATGTAGAGGTACTGTCTCACATACTTCCAGAGATCCAATTTGTACCTCTCTCTGTCTCTCTCTCAAAGTACATTTGCACATGTTCTGAGACATATGAATTATTATATTATTGTTTTTGCTCTTCATAATTTTGTTAATATATATACTTGTGCATCACAAGATGATATTATTGTTGCAATTCCTGACCCTTGTTTTCTGCTGTGAAGTTTTGCTATATCACAGTCATATAGTTATATATTCTTGCAGCAAGCTTTTAATTGACATTAAGTTAACGGTTTTCAAGTTTACTTACTTGGCGATAAGACTCCATACTGCCCCCATCAACTAGTTATCAATCTGGATACACTAATATCATAATGCACATGCCGTTTGGATGTTTAACCCACTGGAAAGTTACCCACCTCATAGATTTTTCCCCAAAACTTACTTTTTTAGTAAACTATGAAACAGTCTTAGTTCATCCATTTGTCTGCAGTAGCATGTTTTATGTTCCAGGTAACTATTATTCTATAGAATTTTATTCATATATTTATCTTTGGTTATGGTAGGCTATTGAAACTTTACTGGAGATGCTCAAGAAGGATCATAAAACTCCGGACACCTTTATTGTCTGGAAAACTATGAGGTATACATTGTTTTGCATTTATTTGTCATTGATTCGGCCATTTTGAGAGAAAAAACTTTTAGGTTGTTGACAACTTCCCTTTACTACTGTCTTTCTGTTTTTTCACCCGTTTCCTGATTAGATGCTATTTGCATGCTGGAGACATTGACCATGGTGTTCGAATTTTTGAAGACTACTTAAATGGAGGGAGGCCTCCTACAGTGGAACTTTATGCTGTGAGTTTTACATCACAATATCCATTTCTTGCTAAGATATTCTTCTGTCAAATTTTTCTATTTTCTCAGTGCTGTCTGGATGCTTTTCCATTGGTTTCTTTGTCTCTATTTTGGAAAGTTTTGAGGATTTATAATGTGGTAACATTGGGTCTCCTAATTTCTAATGTATCATTTTACTGCTTAAACTGCATTATACATTCATAATATAGTGAAGTTCGCTTTTGCTTGGAAGTGGAGATAATATAAGATCGTCTTTCTAGTTAGAAATTGTGGCTGGCTTGCAGGGTGTTTTTACATTCTATTGGCATAAATTGAGCATGTCTACTTGATAAAAGGCTGGTTTTTAATATGATTTATCAATGATCTATGGTTTAATATAGTTGAAACAGGATAATCATTAAGTTATTGCAACTTCTTTGGTTGTAGACACTTGTTGAGGGAGCCATGGTTGGGTATACTCCCAGAGGAATGCAACTTGCTCAAGAAACACTGGTATGTACGATAGGGCATAGTTAATTCATTAACTTCTTGAGTATCATTATTGTCTTGGTCATGTTGAATATGGTTTTTCTTGGCTCAATGCAGGGCAATATGGCATCTAGGAACTTCTTCTTGAGCCCTAAAATGGGAAGTGATCTCCTCCTTGTAGCTGCTGGTGAGAAGGTAAGCGAACTTTTAAGTTGGTAGACATTTTGCAGGAAGGAGTATTTATCCGCCCTTGTCGTTCACTATATTTGCTTCATTATTTTGTGAATGCTTGTGCAATCTCCTATTCTTAGAACTTTTATGTTTCTGATGCAGACTGGTGGATATACAAATGCAAACTATATATGGGATCTGATGCAGGCTCGTAGTATAGTTCCTACTCTTCCTGCAGTGGAAGCTTATTACAATGGCCTTAAGGTAAGTCTTCTTACCTCTTATACTATCATTTACCAAAGTAATAGTTGTCTTTCATTTGTTCATTATCCCTTTCTCTATGTAGTGTGAGGAACATAAACTGTTTCATAAACGTAAAATATGCTGTAATTTATGCGAGAGCTTGTAATCAGGTCTATGTTTGGTCAAACTGCTGCACCATGACTGAAACCTATGGACTTGACAATCTGAATTGTGTAAATTTACATATTTTCGTCTCTTTTATTGCAGGACCGTGAGATACCCGAAGATGACCCAAGATTGCAATTAGTTTCTCGTACTTTAAACAACCTGCACCGTAGATTCAGAACAGGACCCGGACGACCTTAATTGAATCTGTGTCATGGTTATTTTTGTTTTACCCAGTAATGTTGGCATATTGAAGTAGGAACTTGAGGCAGAATCTTCTTTGCAGTAATGGCTAAAGATCAATGAATTAGTTCCATAAAAGAAGAGATGGACGAGTTTGGCATGAGGCATGCATTGGGTGGTTTTATATTGTAACTGAAAGTTGTTTTGTTAGTTAATTCAGTTTAGATTTTTTCTTTTTCCCAGAACAAAAGAGATAATATATTATTGCATTATTATATAAATTAATAAAAAGGGCAGGTTCTGATAAGAGTTGATGGTCAGAAATTGTCTTTAATAATCTATTACCCAATTTTACTCTAATCCATTACGTATGATGTTTTTATCAACAGAGTTAACTCGTTTGTTGTAACTTGTTGAAGAGTTAACTCAACTCAGCCGGATATGTAAACATAGGTTACTAACAATTACATTAGTAAATACGAATATGAAACAATAAATTAATGTGTCAATGACTTAATTACTTAAATACATATATAAATATGTTTATACATGTGTGCAGAATGTTTATTGAATATGTTATGATTTGTTTATATGATGTTTTAAATATGTCAACATGATTAACACATAAAATACAATAATTTTAATTTAAATTTGCATAATTCTGTGTTGTCATCGTATTTTATAAAAAGATCATGTAGAACCTAGAGAGAGCATTTTTTCAAAGGCGGTTAATATAATTAAAAAAGTTTGGAATTAAATAAATTTATAACCATTTAGAAAATATTTGTGTTATAATAAGTTTATTACAGGTTTTTTTTTTTTTATGTCTCAATTATTTTGGGAAATAGTGTATTCAAAGTTGGGCTATAAAACTGTTAAAGCCGATGATCAATGGGCCAATAAGGCCATGGTCCCTGCAATGCCCTTCTTCCCATTGAAGCCAACCGTAAATGACCTTCTCAGTCTTCCAAACTGAGCCGACCAGAAACTGGAAAGCAAGTTCTTCTCTTTGAAAACCGATTCCAAACTGAGCCGACAGATGCAGAAACTGGAAAATAACAAGGCGAAGAAAATGAAAAAGAATAAAGGAAGAGAGAAGCAAAACTTAAAGGAAACTTCAATTTCCAATCTTGAGGAGGAAGATGATGAACAACAGGACGAAGGGTTAGATGAAACTGACATGGAAGCCGCAAAGGGTAACGAAGATAAACAAGAGGCTGATGATAATGAAACTGATGGTTTGGAAGATGGGAATGGCGTACCCAATAAGAAGAAGAAGAAGAAGGAGAAGTTGTTGAAGGAAGCAGCTGAGGCTGATAACCGTGGGGTTTGTTACTTGAGCAGGATTCCACCTCATATGGATCATGTCAAACTACGGCAGTTGCTTTCTCAGTATGGGGAAATACTTAGGATTTATCTTACTCCTTCAGGTGAGCAAATATCATTGAAAATTTCCCCACATAATGGGTTGCCTGTTAGTTATTATTATGAAAAAGTATTGATTTTTATTGATTGTACTAATGCAGCTCATCCACCCCAAGTAAAGGGTAAGCGTACAAGACCCTCCAAGGTTCAAGAACAAGAATTTTCTGAAGGGTATGTCTCGTATACCTTAACCAAATTTTTTTCATATAGTTGTGAATCTTTAAAGATTTCCCCTTTTACTTTTACAGTTTATATTTTGGCATTATGAATTTCTGAAGGTTTTTCCTTTACCTCAAAGCTTAACGATGTTGTGATGACCTGGTTCAACAAATTTTCTCATGTTTATTCTGTAGGTGGGTTGAATTTGCTAGGAAAGGGATTGCAAAGAGGGTTGCTAATATGTTAAATGGTGAACAAATTGGTATGGGGATTAATTACAATATATTTCTTCTTCTTTGTAATTTCAGTAACTTGGTGTGTCCTCTTTGAAGGTCTTTTTCCCTATATTTCTGATCTTTTTCACTTTGTTTAGGTGGGAGGAAGAGGTCATCATTCTATTATGATCTTTGGAATATCAAGTACTTAAGTAAATTCAAATGGGATGATCTTACTGAAGAAATTGGTAACTCATTGTATTGTGTTCTTTGTTTCACAATGATTTTGGTGTTATTTTTTGGGTGTCTTAGTTGGGTTTTGTTTTGTTTTTTTTTTCTGATGTAGCTTACAAGAGTGCAATTCGGGAGCAGAAGCTAGCTTTAGAAATTTCTGCTGCCAAGAGGGAGCGGGATTTCTATCTCTCTAAAGTTGACCAATCTCGTGCGCTAAAGTCAATTGAAGAACGAATGAAGAAGGTAAACAACTTAAATTTTTGATGTAACACATTGTCATCAATGTAACAGCTTACATTTTCAATTTAACTAGTTGTGGCTTAGCTGCATAATGCTTCATATTTGTTCTCAAAGATACCACTCCAGTGCATGTTCCACCCCAAGGTGATATAATTTTTCTTGGCTGAATTTCATGTACATAGTATCATGCCCATTGCTTCCAAGTTCTAATATTGGCAAATTATGTCTTCCTAGCCATTATCAGTGAAACACCTTCTTCCTATTTGGGTTACTCTTTTTACCTGATCTCTTACATATTCTAGTTTGGGTGGCATGTTTTTACATCAATCATCTTTGATTTGTCAAGTGTGATTCAGATTGGAAAGAAGGTAAATCCCTTTTGCTTCTTGAGTTCTTTCCATTCTGGATCGGTTAGAGGTTCAAGTAATCAAATTATTCGTCCATGTTCTTTGAAGGTGACCTTTCGTAATTTCATTTATAGATAACTGTATGCTTATCCAAAATCCATCAAAAGCTTCTAATATGATTTTTTCACACTTGGTTTACTCTTCACATAATGATGGATTGCTGCATTTATTTCTAGTTAGCAGCACTCAGTTGACAGTAACCTTTTGGTTTAGTCTGTAATTGCCTCAAAAAAAAAAAAGAATAAATATGTAATTCTGCATGTTGGGTTCCCTCATATTTATGACTTTCCACAGAAGCAAAAGGTGCAACAGGAGTCTGGAACAAATTCTGAGCTGCCCGTTAGCCAGAAGAAGGTGATTCGCCAATTCCCGCAGAAAAGGCCAGTTGCAGTTGATAAATCTCAAAGCAAACCCCAACTCTCTAAAGATATTCTTGCTGGGGTGAGTATTACTTTATAAGCAACAATTGTATCTGTTTTCTGTTCTAGCCTGTTCCCTGAAGCTTGCTTCCAATGTTCTTCGCAGATATTTGCTGGTTCTTAGTGATCAAGTTCAAAGTGCTCGGTTGGCAGTCAATGGAAGAAGAGTTGCGTTCTGAGTGTAAGGTTTATGTTTGTGCATTGTATAGCCACTCTCATGTGGGTTAAAAAATAAAGAGAATCTTTGATTAAGCAGGCAGCAACTAGGCCAAGGCCAGGTTGTTAGCACCTTACAACTTTTGTAGTCTTCATGCAGAGGTGGGACTAATTTAGTTTTACCATCATAAAGTTTTGATCTGGATTTACACCAATGTAACCAACATTTTCCCTGTATTTTGGTATGATTTATTCCAATATTAAACATTTCTTTATTTGAGGACTCATCTTGGTGGACATCTGTTCCTTTTCAAGCATCCATCATTTTTCAATTCATGTTCATTTTTAACTGTTCAAAACAGTTAAGGACTTATACCATGATGAACATCTGATTATCCTAATCCATACCTAATTAATGATTAAAAAAATTTAAGTTAGTGTATCAATTAGTACAGTCAAGTCTATTTTACTTAATTTTATACAACTAAACTTTAACATTTTAAATTATAAAATTAAGTTACATTGAATAATATCGTCATCTTTGACACACGGCTCAAAAAGTTTATTAAAATCTTTTCTTTAATAATTAATTAATAAAAAATTTAAAAATTAGGATTAACTTGATTACTTCATATATAATGATCACATCATATCAAAGAAAGAGTATGTACTGGTTTTAGTATTTTAACAAGATGTCAAAGATATAAATGTTAAATTGTTTCCTTCAAATTTTTTTTTTTTGAAAATTGTTAATAACTGTAACAAGCTATTGGAAAATTTTAATGTAAATTAATAAGAAATAATAGATATTATAACAAAATATTTTAAATAAAATAGGTTAGATATGATAGAATTGTGCTAACATTTTAATTTTAATGTATTTATTTGTAAATATAAGTAAAAACAAGTATAAAATTGAAGGATAAAATATTTTTCTTTTTTGTTAGTTTTGGGTTAAAACAAGTATTTGGAATTGTTCTGGGTAATATCGAGTTAAATGTAAAAAATGAAAATAAGACTCACGGGTTTAATTGAGTTTGACTAGATGATTTGTTGCAATGTGCAACAAGCAAAATAGACTAATTAAGTTGAATTCATCTAATAAATTAATTTTCCCTGAACTTATAATAAGGGATTCAAGGTTTCAACTAAACTAAATAAAAGTATAAGAATTAAATATAATTACACAGTTTAATAGATCAAAATAAACCCACAAATTTAAATGAAGTGTTGTAAAATATTTCAATCAGAAAAGCTTTTTCCAAATTAAAAACATATGAGCATAAGTGCAGGGACATCTCTGCTCCAACCCTCATCTGCTGGAAAATGTTGCCTTGAAAGTCATTTCCACTCTTGTTCATGATCATGAATAAATCTATAACCTATATTCACATGAGGAATGTGTGCTACCTTGAACCGTTCTAGTCCTTTATTTCTGTTGCAGTGTTGCTCTAGCAGAGGACAATTAAGGACGCGTAGTACCAACAGTGAGGGAGGTAGACCATCTTTAGGCAGAGATGTGAGCTTTGGGCAGTCTGAAATACTCAAAACTTGCCAGAGAGTTGAGGTATCTGAAGCCCCTGGAGGAAAGGTATCTCAAGTTTGGGAAATCTTCAATGTCCAGCCTAGTTAGACAAGTGGGCAGCTTCATTCCTATCTCTTCTTGTGGAAATGACTCAACATCTTGACTTCCACTAATGATGAGTTCTTTTAGAGACTTGATCTTGTACAATCCCCAGTGAAATAATGGCTTACATATTTCGGGACCTGTGATTTCAACTGATGTCAGATTGGGACGAAAACCTTTGTCTGGGAAGGTTGTGATGCTGGGACGACCACCTATAACCAAGCATCGAAGAGAGGTAAGGTTGTGGAAGCAGTTGGGCAGGGCCTCAAGTTTGTGACAGCAGCTGATCCATAGCAATATCAGGTTGGCAGCAGGGAACCCTCCCTCTGGAAAGGAAACAAAATTCCAGGCACTATCTATATAGAATATTTTCAGATTATTGAGGTTGTATAGACACTCAGGTAGTGATTTAAGATTTCCACAATCCAATATTGAAATGTATTCAAGAGATGAATCCTTCTGGAACCTTTTGGATATTGACTCCAACTCTGTACAACCGTAAATATCAAGGTGCTTAAGTGCAGATGGTAACTTTCCCCCGGATGCTACCTCTTTCAGTCTTGTGCAAAGTGAAATCTTGAGGTATTGAAGTGTAACAGGCAGCTCCCCTCTGGCTGACAAGCATGTAAGAAGCGGACATGGTTTAATAATTAACTCCATAAGAAGACGTGTTTATAGTGTTGACATTCTCTTCCTCATCCAGCAAACACTGTAAGCCAAAGCAATCTTTGATTGCTAATTTTCTGAGACTTGGAGGCAAAATGGACTCCCTAAATAAAACATGTCCCTCGTACCGTGCAATGTATAGCCCTCTAAGACAAGCAAAGTTGGGGAAGGCTTTTCGCAACTTCTCAAACCTTTCACAATAATTCAAAGACATTCAACACTGAAAGGGATCTCCAATTGTAGCTTCTTGTTTGCATGCTTCTCTGTCTCCAAGGAAATGAGTGGTGAAAAACTACTAATTTCTAAATAGCGTACAAAATTGAGGCTCCACAGAGACATCAGATGCTTACAAAGACTGAGCTTTAAATTATTTACCTTTTTCAACCCTTGCATGAAGCCCTCTGTTAGGCATTTCAACTTAGGAATGTTTGAAAGTTGCATCAAGTCCAGTGTGCTGAAGTCAACTGTGCTGGTTTGCACCACTTCTTTGCAGCCCTCTATCTTCAATTCACTAGGCACTGGGAGGCTAGGAATTGTAACTACTCACTGCTCACACTGACGAATGACAAGCTTTTCTAAAGATGGTAAATAGCTGGGTAGTTTTCCAGATAACTTGGGGCAATTCCTGATTGTGAGCTCGCACAGGCGAGGAAACTCGGTGTTAGCAACATTGGAAGAAAACCTCCAATCCTTCCACTCTTGCATATCTTCAAACTCTAAAGTCTCAAGTGCTGGAAAAGGCTCTAAGACAGCTTCCCCGTAAAACTCTGGGCCAAGACCCTTGACAGCAGACAATCTTCTGATACACAAGTCCTTGAGTGATGGCAATTGCCCTAGTGGAGGAAAAGATATGCACCTGTCACAATTATCTAACTGTAGGTGCACCATATGAGAGAACGAAGAATCTCCAAGCCATTTAGGAAATTTTGTGCCACCATAACACTCAATGCTGAGCTTTTCCAACTTAGTAGAAGGTTGTAGCTTCTCTATTACATCAGTTTCAACAGTTTCATCTCTTGAATTATCAAATTTAAAGCTCCATTTCAGCGACAAGATCTTTAAGCTCATATCTTTTAACCCAGAATTTGATGCTTCCTGAGAATCAACCACATTTTCCAACCTCTCAATGCTGAAGGACTCTTGAATCAACTTCAATTTCTTTAAATCTCCTATCCCTCACCCAACATTTTTTCCCACTATGAATGCAGGCAACATACAGAGATTTTTCAATTCCTTCATTCCCATTGGCATCTCTTCTATTTAATTCACGTTAGTGACATCTTGATATTGCAGGTTGATTAGATCGTACATATTTGCAGACCACTTCTTAAGATAGGAACAACTTTTCAATATCAATGTCTGTAGATTCAAGAGATTACTTGTTGACTCAGGTAAGTTTCTAATTGTAGTATAAGAAAGGTTAAGGTTGACAGCATTTTCCTCCACTTGTTCAGCTTTTCCTGAAAAACCCCATGCAATGGAAAGTCCAACAATTCATCAGATGCCAATCTCCCAAGCAGAACCTGAAGCAACCCTGCGAGAAAGGGCTCTCCTGCAGCCATGTTTTCCTGGTATTAATGAGATAAAAATGAAAATATACAAGGGAGAGGGCTGGGGAGGTAAGTTTTTCCCTGTTATTAGCTGGCTGAAACTGGGTTGCGACGAAAGTCAAATTGATGTATGCTCATGGCATCATCAATAAACTAAAGTCAGCACAGCTCAGTTTCGATCATCAACAAATTTTTGTTAAGAACTAGTCAAATCAATACATTCTATTGAGCAAACTGCATCGTCAACGTCAAAATACCTACAAAGGTTCTATAATCCTATATTCAAAATAGAAATAATTTAATTTTTTTAATTTTAAAAATTATTTCAATTTAATCTTACTGTCACTGTCAACATCAGTCATAAATACAATCTTTTAATTCAAAAAAATATAATTTAAAAAATATAATTTAAAATATTAAATAAAATAAAAATATAAAAAATAAATAAATAATTAAAAAAATTTAAACAAGTCAAAATAAAAAATTATTTATATCATTGTCACTAACTCCATATCTCTTTTCATTATTTTTTTTAAAAACACTAATTTAATTTATTTTATTAATTTAAATTCAGTTCAAGTTAAAAATTAAATTAAATAAATTTTA